CTTGTGGGAAATCGGTCCGGGTTTTTTTTCCAACCCTTCCCCTGTTCTGCACCATTGATAAATGTTTGTCGCATCAGCACACCTCAGGCATCTTCCCTTCTTCTGCAGTTTCCCGAAGAGGCTGGAGTGGGTTCCCAGTTCCTTGTTTGCATTTCCTAGTTCCTTAGTCATGACTTATTCCTGGAACTAGGAAATGCGAATAAAGAACTGGGAACTGGGAACCCACTTCAGCCTCGCAGTCTCCGTCCTTTTTCAGAAGTCCTCCTCCTTGGCTATCAGCCGCCTTCTCTCCCTGAGGCTGTTTGACATTTCAAGAGGCCTCTTTACTTCCTACTGGGTGATCCCACATTGGCCTTTTCCCTCCCTTGTTTTGCCAAACCCACCTCGGAACAGAAATCCCCCTCTGCTTTGCATGCTGCTTTCACTTCCTTTGACCATCAGATTTCATGGTAGCCTCCATACTCCATGCTGCTTTCACTTCCTTTGACCATCAGATTTTATGGTAGCCTCCACACTGCATAGGAGCTGCGGTGGCTCAAGTGGTTAAGACGCTGAACTGCGGGCTGTGGAAGGTTGGTCGTTCAGCAGTTCGAGACCCGAGTGTGCCGCATGACGGAGTGAGCTCCCGTCTCTAGTTCCAACTCCTGCCCGCCTAGCAGTTCGAAAGCAAGAAATTGCAAGTAGATCAATAGATACCACTTCGGTGGGAAGGAAACAGCGTTCCGTGTGCCTTGGTGTTTAGTCATGACGGCCACATGACCACGGAAACGTCTTCGGACAGCGCTGGCTCTTCGGCTTGGAAACGGAGATGAGCACCGCAACCCTAGAGTCGGATTCGACTGGCTTTCGAGCAAGGGAAACCTTTACCACACTGCATCCCGTACCTTGTACACAGGGGTCATTTCATAGAAAAAGAGGTGCTGGAGCTCATTAGCATAACTCGTTTGCATACGCCACACCCCCTGACATCACCAGAAGTGTGTCAGAAGGCAACACCCACCGCTCAGGCTCCACTGGACTGTTTTGGATTGCTAGCTATTGGGGGGGGGGATGCGCAGATCTTCCCTCACAGAGGAGGGAGAGCTTGTACCTGAAGGCAGGCCCGGGGGGAGGCTCTGCAACACAGCGTCCAGCTTTCCCTTCAATCTCCCTTTCTTCTTCCATGCTGAACAGAACCTGTGATAAATGTTAGGTGTGAAGTGACCTGGAAGAGTTTTTCCTTCTCATAATTACCTTTATCCAGGGCTATTTTTGGGCAGGAACACACAGGTACTGAGTTCCGGCTGGCTCCCAAGTTGGCCACACCCAGCAGGCACTCATTAGCATAACAGGCCACACCCAACAGCAGAGACTGATTAGGATTGGCTACATTAGGGGTGTGTGGCCTAACATGTAAAGGAGTTCCTGCTCCAGAAAAAAGCCCTGGGTTTTGACAACAAACAAGGTAAACAGAATAACAACCAAAAGGTGGGTGTGGCTGGATGACCACCCTTCTGGTAACATGTGGGTGCGGCCTAATGTGCTAGTGAGCTGTGCTGTCAGGGGTGTGGCCCTATATGCTAATGGGTTCCTGCTGTTGGGTGTGGCCTATTATGCTAATGAGTTCCTGCTGGGCTTTTTCTACAAAAAGAGCCCTGCCTTTATCTATAGCCCGCCTTCCTCACTGAATCTCATGGCAGATATATGGATTATAAAACAATGCAAAGGGCATCCAGCGAACAGTGCATGAGGGATCAGGATTACAGAAGGAGAGAACAATACAAACCACAAGTTATCTGAGGCAGGGTACGCCTCAGTGCAGAAAACGATGCAGAAAAATGGAGTTACAAAAGGTAGAAGACAATAAAGTAAAAGCATGATGCTGCTTTGGTACTCTCTTTCTGCCTTTTGGGCTTATGAGTCTCATTTTGCTGTGTGTTCGTTTTCCTCACTTGTAAATTCCTGGTTTCTTCCAGGGCGGGGGTGGGGGTCTGTTCCACGTGTGTTTTGCTTCCCCCTAGTGGCTGATTCGATATTACACCAGTTTATGTCCAGCATAAAAACCTGCAGTTTTAAATCGCCTATTAATTTTCTTAAATTTGCTAGGCATCCCCCCACTCCACCCCCAGCACAGGCTCTGATAACAAATTGTGCCCTAAGAGTCTTTATTTCTGCAGTCACGTTCATATTCTTTATTGTCTAGCTGTAAACAACAGTTGGTCTCCAGAATTTTGACCATCTTCTGTAAGATTTTCTCACTGCTCCCGTCCTGCGCCATGTTTTTCTTTCTCATTTCTGCTCACTGCACAATGTTTTCTCATTCTTTTTAGAATTTTGTGTGCTTGCTTGCTCCTTTTCTCTGATCATATGATTTTTTCCCCCATTCTCCACTGTGAATCCCTTTGGTCTCTTTCATATCATTTTGGGACTCTCCCCTCAGTATCAGAAACAGATCTGATGAATTTAGGCTAGGCCAGGCTATCATATATAGGTTTCCCTTGCTCAAAAGCCAGTCGAATCCAACTCTAGGGTTGCGCTGCTCATCTCTGTTTCCAAGCTGAACAGCCAGCGCTGTCTGAAGATGTTTCCATGGTCATGCGGTCGGCATGACTAAACACCAAGGTGCACAGAATGCTGAACACTGTTACCTTCCCACCGAAGTGGTACCTATTTATCTACTTGCAATTTCTTGCTTTCGAACTGCTAGGTTGGCAGGAGCTGGAACTAGAGACGGGAGCTCACTCCGTCACATGGCACTCGGGTCTTGAACTGATGAGCTACGGACCTTCCGATCTGCAGCTCAGCCTCTTAACCTCTGTGCCACGTCAGCCCCACTACCATATATACCAGGTGGTAAAATTCCTAATGTTCTGAGAAACGACTATCTTCAGGACTGCTGTTAAACGTCACTTCCTCAGGCCTCATCCTTTCTCATAACAGCCCCCCAAAAGAGGCGGAGTAACAACCGGCTAGCCAAACAGGGCAGGCACCAGTGCCAATTGACACTCCCTCAAACACCCCTCCATGTCTGTTGGTCGTTCAGTGGAGCCTCATGGCTTAGCAATTCCTTCCCCTTGTTGCCCCACATCACCCCCCGTTCTTTTGTCTTTCTCTGTGTCCAGGGGACCGAGGTGTTCCCTTTGCTGGGCTCTGTGTTGAGAGACCCCAAGCACTTCGCAAGGCCTGACGTCTTTGACCCCCAGCACTTCCTGGATGAGAATGGGACGTTCAAGAGGAACGATGCTTTCGTGCCATTCTCCGTAGGTAAGTCCCCTTTCCGGCCCCTTTCCCCTTCCTGTCTCCCCCCACCCCTCCAAGTCCAGAAATAACTAAACCACCTGGGACTCTGCTAGCCGGGCACACCAATAAACCATATTTGGTATAGTGGTTAAGAGCAGTGGACTTGAATCTGGAGAACCAGTTTTGATTCCCTACTCCTCCACATGCAGCCAGCTGGGAGACTTTGGGTCAGTCACAGTTCTCTCAGAGCTGTTCCCTCAAGAAGCAGTTCTCTCAGAGTTCTCTCTCAGTCCCACCGACCTCACACAGGGTGTCTGTTGTATGGAGAGGAAGGAGACTGTAAGCTGCTC